GTTTGTGTGAACTAATATAAATTCAAAGTAAACATCATTACATAAAAGGGTACGGTCTTTTTTTTCAATAGTTTTATTCATTTCAAACGGGCCGGATCCGGCCCGTGGGCCGTAGTTTGCCACGGCTGCTCTAGAGCCACGGTCTGTGTATGGACACATCTGGGGCACATCGGGGAGACGTGCCCCACGAACCACTGGCTGGAAGGGCCACCCCAGTCAAGAGCTGCTCTGGCTCAATGGATAGAGCGTCGGCCGCAGACGGCAGGGTCGCACATTCGATTCCGGTCAAGGGCATGTACCTCGGTTGCAGGCCCAATCCCCTGCCAGGGCGAGTATGGGAGGCAGCCAATCAACGTGTCTCTCTCTCACATCCGTGTTTCTCTCACTCTGTCTCTCCCCCTCCCTCCCACTCTCTCTAAAAATCAATGGAAACATATCCTCAGGTGAGGATTAACAACAAAAAAATGAAGACCAGCTCCATTATTCACATGGGGAGGCTGAGCCCTTGGGAGGAAGTCTCTTTTCTCGGTCACGCCTACCTTTCTCAGGAATAAGGACAGATTATAGCGTTTAGTTCGCACAGACCCCATAGAGAAATTGTGCAGATCCCAGGATCTCATCCTAAACTGCTTAGACCAATTTAGGGAGCAATTTGGGCAAGAGTGGAGAAGTCCCCGGAGGCCAGAGTGGCAGATACTGAAACACAATTCACCAGGTAACTCTCAGATGCAAGGAAGTCTATTGCATGTTAAAGGGAAATTAGCATATTTTCTACAGGGCTTCATAGTCAATAAATATAGATGATGTAAATATAATCAACCCTTGATTATCTATACTTATAAAATGATAATATTAATGAAGTAAAATAATTTATATTTGGAGTGTATTGTACACAATTTTTTGCAATAACAGACAGCTCTTCTTAATTATATGTTGTGTATGTCAGTGTGAAAACTAGTTTCCAGTTTCTGATGGCTCCTGTTCCAATGAGTACTTAATAAAACCACATGAGGTAAAAAAAAAAAAAAAA